ATTTTTCAGATTTCTGATGCAAAATCAGTCTGGAGAGACACATGGGTGAGTGAATTTTAACACTCTCCTTTTACCTTTTCCTTTGTCCATTGTAGTCTCTTGATGCTTTTTTGTTTGATTTCTTACAACCCCAAGGCAAAAATAATGGAAAAAAGTTGGTGTTTGGTATGCCCAAGTGCCACCCCCAAGTCAAGCCCCCTTTTTACTTTTTCTGTAAGCTTTTTGCTATAGGGCACATATACTCACCAGAGAGACAGAGAGAGAGATGAAAAGAGATGGATGAGCCCCTGCCCCCATCCCCAGGTGGGATGGCCATGCTGCCATCCTTCTCTTCCTCCATGCTCTTCTTGAGATTTTGGGCACACATTCACATGTGCCCAGTAATTTTCAAGCTGCCAGGTCCAGGACTCAATCCATGCAGCCATGTGGAATCTGGCCATCTTAATCTCTATGCCACCTGCTGGTCCGACTTTCTTTTTTTAATTTGCCAGAGGTTGCATGCACTTGCCAGAAAGAGACAGTAACAGAGACAGAAAGGGGAAGCGAGAAAGCTTCCCCCCATGGAAAATGGTCATACTACAACTCCTTCTCTTCAATTTCTCCTTCCTTTTGAGATTTTGGGAACACACACATATGCACCTGGTGTGTTCCTCAAGCCTCCAGGGTCTGGGACTCAAACGACATTGTTTAAACCTATGATTTTAAAAGTGTGTTTTTCAAACTGTGGCTTGCAATCTCCCTAAATCTGTAGTGTCCAATATGGAAAGGAAGTAAAAAATTCAGTTCTTTAGTCACACTCACCAAATCTCAAATGTTTAATAACCACATGTAGCTGGCAGTTACTGTAGTGGGTAGCACAGATACAGAATATTTTTAACTTTAAAGAAAGTTCTTTGGAGACCAGCAGATGACATAATGATTACATCACTGGACTCCCACGTAGTTGACTGCGGTTCAAATCGTCAACATGGTTGCTTAAAACTCATGTCGGGTGCATAGGCGTGCATGCCCAAACTCCCAAAAGGAAAATGGGAATGGAGAAGGGATTGTGGCATGGCCATCCCCCTGGGGGGTGATTTCTTGCTTTCTGTCTCTCTGCGTCTCTCTGGCAAGCACACGTACCCTACAGCAAAAAATCTCTGGAAAAAAAATGGAAAGAAGATTCTTTGGACAGTACTATTTACATAGTCACCAAATCAATTCATTGGTTCACAAACAATATTTAAATAAATGAAATAGAATAGAAAATCAATGTTCATTTCCCTAGCACTGATTTTTTTCACAAAAACATTTCAATAAAATATTGTTTTATATATACACATGTATTTACACATCACTGTAGATCACAGTAAAAAACCTTTGAAAGCACTGCCTTAAATTATGTATGTACAACCATGATTAAAAATAAAACATCAGAGCCAGCTTCTGGCACAGTGGTAACGTAATGATCTGCAATATTGGACCCACGTGGGAAGGTCCTTGGCTCCTGTCCTTAAGACTCCCTCAGAGGGGAGTGTACATGCCAGGTGCACACATGCACATGTGCCTCTGATCTGAGGCTGGGGTGGATCGTGCTGTGGGGATCCTTTGGGGGATGTCTTGTTTTACTTTCAAAGGAAATATATTTATTCTTTATTATTATTTTTTCAATTTGACCAGAGACAGAGAGAGAGATGGAAAGTAAGAAAGTAAGCCTTCAGGTCCGAAACTCAAATCACAGTCAGCCACATGGGAGTCTAGCACCTTAATCACCATGCCACTTGCCAGCCCTGGAAATAGTTGTTTTTTAATTTTTTAATTTTTTGTTTGTTTGTTTTTAGAAAAGCTAAAACATCAGAGTGAGAGAGTCTTTCCTGTAGTTCTTCAAAGACCTAGTAGAGTCCTTACTTCCTGTGATGGCATCATCTACAGCCTCACATCCATACAGAAAATCCAGAGCCTAGGACATCATTTAAAAAACAACAGCAGTGGGGCAGCAGGTGGTATAGTGGTTAAGGTGCCGTTATTCCACATGGCTGACTGTGGTTTGAGGCCTAGACATGGTGGCTTGAAACTCATGCTGGGCGTGTATGCATATGTGACCAAAATCCCAAGAGGATGATGCAGTAGAAGGGATTGAGGAATGGCCATTCCCCCAGAGGAGAGTTTCTCACTTTCCCTCTCTCTGTCTCTCTCTCTCTCTCCAGTCAGCATACTAAAGTAGGCATGATGAACCTTTGGGACTATCACATGCCTATTTCTTGTGTCATTTGTCCTCCCCTTTTTGCAAAGAGTGTCACTTTTGGAGTCCCTTTTTGTTTTGAAATGGGAAGAAGTGGAGGTTCCAAGGGTATTACGAGATTTGCCCATGGCTACAAAGTTAACACAGAATTAGTCCAGGTCTTCTGACCTCTAAATCTAAAACTCTTTCCACAAAATCTTCAGAGGTTGGTAATCTAAGGCCCTGACTGTCCTAATCAATACTTTAAACAACCTGATTGATGAGTATTATCTGGTGACAATAATGGTTATGATAATAACTAATGTAAACTGTCTTTCTAGACACTACATAAATTAACTTATAACCCTCACAAGCATGTGAGATGGATCCTATTATCAACCAACCCCATTTTTCCACATGGAGAAATATAGCTGTGGGATGTTAGTTAATTTGCCCAAAGTCAGTCACACAACTAGTGAACAGCAAAGCCAGGAAATAGACTAATGCAGTCTGGTTCCAGAGCTCTCAACATCACTTTATATATAGCTTTATATAACCCAGATAAATTAATTTCTCCCTACATATTAATTAGCCTAAAAGTAATAGTTATCATTTATTAGCACCTACTAAATAATCCACACACTGTGACCGTGTTTTGTCTCACAAAATCAGTGTTACAAAGATGTTCTACTCTATAAACTGTATCAAAGTTTTTGTTCAAATATTCTAAACTAATGGATGGGACTTATACAAGCCAAGTTAATTGTTCAATGCCTTGAGTTGACTACTTTTTTCATAAGCCTTGAGTTGACTACTTTTTTCTTTTTATGCAAGAGAATGTGTGTATGAGAGAGAGAGAGAAAGCACCCCCAATAGGGCCAGATCACACACAATCCTTTTTTTTTCCCTTCAACTCTTCATCCCATCAGGATCCTGAGTATGAGTGTGCATGCCCAGAATGAGTTTTTAAAAAGAAGTATTTATTTAATTTTATTTATTATTATTATTATTATTTAATTTGCTATAGAGCACATGTGCTCGCCAGAGAAAATGAGTGAGAAAGCAATCCACCAGGTCTAGAACTCAAACCACCATTGACCATGTAGGAATCCAGCACCTTAACGATCATGCCACCTGCTGGCTCAACGCAGCATGATTTTCACGCCACTGTGGCATGGAGTCAATCACTGATTTGCCATATAGGCTCCATCTTCCTCTACACACACTTAACTGTTACAGCACAGGCTGGCCCAAGATAAGTACTTTAAACATACAGATTTTATCTCAACATATAAATAAATACAAACTGGCTTGATAACATGGGTGGATTTATTCTTAAGATTTGAGTGCAAACTTAAAAACAAGAACAAAGCTTTTCACCAAAAATAGACACAAAGTCTAAATAACAAATTCTGCAATCGTGCATTTTAACAGAAAGTACAAATATGAATACATTATCATTTATAACTACACTTGAAAGTTAAAATATTTCCCTCTAAATCCAAAACACAATACAGTCTTTAACCTGTTCTTATCTTGTTACCTTCGAAACAGTTGTCATATGCTATCAGGAAAATATAGGCAAGGATTACTAATCAGTCTCTACAATCAAAGAAACATTACTCTCCTTAACTTTTGACTTTTTGAATCATTCATCTGTATTTCAGTTCTCTAAAGCCACACAATTATATCTCCACTCTAGAAAAAAAATGAATGAATACAAATATCAAGGAGGCAAGATATTTCCATGTAATAAAAGCAATTGTCACAAATGTCTGACATAGAAATGTACATACTTGTAGTAAATTTTTAAAGTACATCTTTGATGGCTGACACGTAATAATAACTGTGAACAATTTAAACAGGTATAAAAATGTGAGATCAAAATACTTAGCTCTTATACTTAAAAAGTCACTATGAATATGGAAAGATTTGTTTACATAAACATACACCTTTAGATGAAAAATCAGGGGGTAGTGGCATCTCCCTGGTCCCTTAACAATATTTGGATTTTCGCAAAGAATTAGCAGCACCCAACCTGAAGTGTTAGTAACATGTTTCTAAAGGACCTATACAACAGATTAGTTGGCAGTGTTCTAGCTTTCGAAGATGGGAGTGGGTAGGGGTGCAGATATCTGAGATAAAATAGCATGCATGTAATCGTACATTTAAAATCACCTTTCCAAATGGGGAAAAAAAAATAACATATTGGAAAAGTCTAAGAAAATCATTCTTAAAGGAGAAACAGTGGGCCAGGAATAGTAGAAGCTGAATAGTAGTCTACTTGGTAATAATGGTTTTTCACTCTTCAAAGGCAAGTTGGAAGGATGAGAATACTCACATATACATAGCTTTGGGAAAGACTTGCCTAGAATTGTACTTTGCAGAACACTGAACAGAAATCTTTACAAAAACCTTCATTTTTGTTTATAATACCAGATGACTGTTTCCTCATTATCACCATATACATAACATTTAAATATGTTCTTTATAAATATTCTAGAGCAAAAAAAATTATTTTGTTGCAGTGGTGGACCACATCTGTACAGAGCAATCTAAGCAACATACATACATACATATATATGTATGTATAAATATATAAAAGCAATGTAAGCATCATACAAACATACATATATATGTATGTATAAATATATAAAATGATTAAGAAAAAGTGCAAAGAATAACAGTATTAAGGATTTTCGTCTTTTACAATAACTATGGTTCAAGTGTGAGTATCAATCAGGGATACAGAATCCCAGGTTTTAACTAAAGATTCAAAAAGAAACTCACACTCCAAGTTATTGCACAAATCTCAGTCTGCTATCAAGTAACTCTGCCATTCTCCCAAATCTAGCATTTCCAGTTTCTAAACTCTTCACAAACAGGAAAAAAGTAGTAACAGTGTTTTCTTCCTTTTAACTTCCCCAAACTCATCCAAGTTAATCAATCACCCGTAGGTTCAGACAAGATAGTGGGAAAGTCATTCATCATAACCCGCTTTCCTAAAATTAAAGCAAAATGAAAGGCTTTCTGAAATGCAAACTACTGATCGAGATTCAAATCAGCAACAGCAAACAGACTTAAATTACAAATGTAATTTAATACAAGTATATCTTAAAATCAATCCCTGTTATCAAAGATAAATGCAGAATCTAAATTTATTTCCTAGGTTCAGGGCTGTACAAGTGCTGTAGTAATTCCAAATACTTATATGTCATTACCTTTTCTAGTAGAGAAGAGGTTTCCTGTTAAATTTTCATAAACTTTCTATCATTTAACACTTGGTCTTAGTTCCTCATTTTGAATAAACACAGAAAGGCAATTTTTAGCATTTTAAAAAATGTACTTTTCTCATAAATCATTCAAATTAATTATGGTTACTGATTTTAGATTTCAACGTTTCAAAGGAGTAGCTCAATTTTCATTTTAATATATCACTAGATACTTTTTGGTGTGTATATGTTGTTTTATTCTTACTTTAGGCACTGTAATTATTCACAACATTACAATGATTCTATGCCTAACCTATGCCACAATTATCATGTAAAATAATACCTTCTAAGGTATTATTTGATTCTGTAAATTATATTATGATTGAATTTTTCCTTCAAGATAAATGGCTGGAAGAAAATTTTAAAGCCTGGCAGCACTCCTGCTTTGAGTAGTGTTACTGTATTTTTTTGTCATGCTTAATATTTAAGCTTCTTCTGAACTAGGAAGACAATAGATATTGGAAGCTGCGAATTTTCTCAAACTACATTCTACTCCAACTCCAATTTATTTTGTTCAACATTGAATATTTTTCTTTACAAAAACAGCTATATCTTAGGCTAATTTTTAAAAACAGAATTTCTGCTCTAAAATTAATAACACAGCTAAATGAAGTAACATTTCAATTCAGCTTCACTAGAACTATGCAAAACTAAGTTAAAGTAGACTCAACAACTATTTTAACAGTTTTGGTTGTCTTTTTTTGTTTAATTACCATGCCTTTAGAATGATAAACTTTACATTCTAAAGGACAGCTCAAAAAGGCTGAAAATTCTGGAACTGATAAGCCACCAGGCCACCTCCTGTGCAACTGGAAATGAGAGGGCGACGTTTTATTTGCCTCCATACATTCGTTCGATATCTTTGAGGTAATGGTTCTTCAGTTCCTTCCTTTTCAGTTTGAAGGCATCAGTTACCAAGCCAGTTTCAGGGGTCCATGGCTCTGGGCTTAAGCGAACCTTGATTGGAATTTCAAATCTCTCCAATTTCACTGAGAAAAAGAGAAGAGAAAGAAGAGAAGAGAAGAGAAGAGAAGAGAAGAGAAGAGAAGAGAAGAGAAGAGAAGAGAAGAGAAGAGGAAAGAGAGAAGAGAGAAGGAAGGAGTGAGGAAAAATAGAATTAATAAAATAGGAATTTTGCAGGGTTTACCTAGGCGATGCAGGGGATGAGGCAAACTTATTTAGTGCTATATGAGTTGATAAAGGATACAAATACTTTTTAATATCATTTTGTACTTCTTGAGGTATATATAGGTTGTTTCAATTGGACAATTTTATAGTCGATGTGGTTTTTATTCCAAGAGATACACACACACACATACACACAGACACACACCTGAGAAGTCTTCAAAAAGTGTATAGAAAATGTGTATTATGAAAAAACTATGCATGACTTTCTAAAGGTTTTTGAAGTCTGCTAGTACACACATACACTCCCTCACTTATTTTGTTGTTCCCTCTGCCTGGTATGGTCTTCCCCAATATAGTTGCATGTTTCACTCCCTTATGAGGTATCTGCTCAAATGCCACCTCCTTGGAGAAGACTTCCCTGAGCACTTGTAACAAAAAAGAAGTCCCTTTGTCTCTCCATATCCTTTACACTATGCTGTGAAGTTCAAAGTACTTGTTACCATCCAAGATATTATTTTTGTCTCACCCACTATAATGTAAGCTCCATGGAAGCATAGTAATTGTTTCATCACTGCCATTCATAGGGCTACACTGACAACCTTCAATAAATACATACAAGGTTGTCAATTTATTCCTCAGAAAATGAAATCTCTAGACAGATATGCTTTATAAGCTTTACTATAGATCTAAATATAGATTAAAAAGGGGATTATGGAGCCAACCCCATGGCCTACAGGTTTTGGGGGCCAGATCCCATATTGTTGACTACACAGTCTGAATCCTGACCCTAGCAGCTTGAAGAACATACTGGGCATGTATGCATGTATGTCCCAAATCCCAACAGAATGGAGAAATGGAGAAGGAATTGTGGTGTGACCATCCCTTTTCAAGGAGTGCTTTCTCCCTCTCTCTGTCTCTCCATCTCTCTCTGGCCATCACATGCACTCTGTGGCAATTATAGTTAATTAATTAATTAATTAAAAGGTAGGATCATGAATTTCACACTTTCAAATAATGTAAGAATTGATGCGGCAATACTGTATTTGAGTTACACAACTAAATATGTGTCGAAAGAACTGTAATAAAATAAAGACGTAGAGGTAATAAACACAGTGTTCAATACTTTCTTTTAAGGCTTTTGCCATAGGCCATTTGCACTCACTGGAGAGAGACAGAGACAGTGTTTTTGCCATAGGCCATTTGCACTCACTGGAAAGAGACAGAGACAGTGAGAGGGAAAGTGAAAAATCACCCCTCCTGGGGGATAGCCACACCACAATTCTCTCTCCATTTTCTTCCTGGAATTTTGGGCATATAGACACACACATGCCCCGCATGAGTTTCAAGCTGCTTGGTCCGAGACTTGAACCATGATAGGCCATGTGGAAGTCCAGCGCCTTAACCACTAAACCAACTGCTGTCCTCAGTGTTCAGTAATTTAAAATAACACAGATTATGTTTCATCAAGTTATTTATTGTTAAGACATGATCATCCTTAACATTCTGAAGGACCATTTGCAGTACATTGTCAATCTCAAGGTACATTTGATTTTATATGTGATTATTTGAAATAGCATTTGTAAAGAAACATGTATCTTTGTGTTTAAACAACTACCACTGAACATGCTAGAAGACTTTAGAAACAATTTGGTTTCAGTGGCAAGCATAAAGAACTCAAAATTTGTGGCAGTTCTTATTCTAGTACTAGTCCGAGTTTTATAAAAGTTTGGCTGAATTAGTGAGGTTCTCATTAAAGTGAAAGGAAAAAAGTTGAGTGTGAAAAATAATGCCTGAACAGGTACTAACAGAACCTAAAACTTTCGCAAATGAACCATTTCTTACTTTGCTAACACATTACAGCTCAGTTATGCAGAGGAGCCTGAAATAAAGCTCTCTGCTCTCAAGGCCACATTTGGAGCTCAAGTAAAAAGTTAAATTCTCAACTAGAGATTTGGCTCTCAAAACTTTAATTTTATTTTCCTTAGTTGCATAAGTCCTATTCCTGAAACACTGACAAAATTGGGATAAGGCAAGTACATTAATTTAGCTGCATACAAGCAAATTGAAGCAAAGCTTCCTATATTTAATCTCCATTAGCTAAATTCCTATTTAAAGCAAAAAACAAACTACCAGAAAATGTTGCTTTATGGGTTTCAGTTTGGAAACTCCTAAATGTTATCTAGTACCCCAAGTCACAGAGAGCAATTAACAATTGCAGTTTCCTATAAACTGAATACAGAAATTGCTAAAAAGGAAGAAAGTTTAGAGGAAGGAAAAACAAAAATGGTTTTACATGTGGCATTTTTATGTGAATTAACTAGAACATCATGAAATGTGACCTGAAGGTGGCAGCAAATGTCAATTTTTACAGTTGTTATGAATTGGTTAAATCAACCCAAAATATTACTTTGCATTCTTATGTTACTACCTGTACCTTACACTTATATTTAAAACATGAAGAGACCTGCTATGAAAGATGTGTAATTTCAGATATATCTGCTGAATATATACAAGACTATTTTATACTTTTTTGCATAAATCTCTGAAATTACCATTTAAGTGAAAGATTAGCAAGACAATTTTTTTTGTGGCGTAAAACACGTTTCTCATTTATATATTTAGCTCATGATTGGCATTCATTAATTGAATAATGAAATTCAATTCATGAATTGAATTCAATTACATGTCTTACTGTAAGCACAGGGAAGTTATGGGGGCCTACTGGATCCTAGGATCTTATTCTATAATCTACCAGATTGTATCCAGCTTGACTCCCTATTGTTCCTTTCTACACAAGTAAGTACACATTATTCAAGTAACATTCTACTCCATTAGTACATTCCAGAAGTGACTAAGAATAACTGTAGTGCACCTCTTATGTTAGCCTACTGGCTGAAGTACTTTCTGAAATGCTAGGTTTAAAGAAAAATCAGGGTTGGTTTCAAAGAAAGTTCTAGGGACCTGGTGATGCCACTGGACTCCCATGTAGTCAACAGCAGTTCAAGTCCTAGCCCGGTGGCTTAAAATTCATGCAGGGTGCATGTGTGTATATGTTCAGAATCTCAACAGGAGAATGGAGAAGGGACTGTGGTGTGGCTATCCTCCCTGGGGGGTGATTTCTTACTTTGTCTCTCTGGCAAGTGCATGTGCAATATAGCAAAAATATCTCTCAAAAAATAAATAAAGTTTTCTCAATAATACTACAACAAATCCATCTTAAAGAAAATATTAAGTCCAAACTATATGATATAAAATAAGTAACTTTCCAATCTGACTATGTTAATAGGTAATAGTTATTTAAAACTTCACAGTGTAGAGTTCAGAAAGTTCTTGGGGAAAAATTAGCAAATAGTTGAACTGAAAAAACTATTACCATGAACTATATTTTAAAACGAAAATGAAACGTAAGTAATTTTAAAAATAAACAGAAATACGGGCCAGTAGGTGGCATAGTGATTAAGGCACTGGATTCCCACATGGCCACCTGCGATCCGAGTCCTAGATCCAGTGGCTTGAACCTCATGCTGGTCGTGCACACATGTGTGCTCAAAATCCCAGGAAGAGAAGGGATTACAGTGTGGCCATCCCCCAAGGGGGTGTTTTTTCACTTTCCCTCTCACTGTCTCTCCAGCGAGCACACACACCCTTATGGCAAAAACCTTAAAAAGAAAAAACAGAAGTAATTATAGCTTAGTTAGGGAAACAGGTTATGCATATATCTTTGGTAGAAATATAAACCAATAGAGTTTTTCCAGGGGGAAAAAGAACAATTTGGCAATGGGGAAAAGGCCTTTAAAAAATATATTTTCTGTTTCTAGGAATTCATACTAAGAAAATAATTACTTAAAAACAAGTAAACATGATATGTGTGTCATTTGTTTACAGTTGGGGGGAAAGTAGAACTCATCTAAATAGTCAACAACAGGGATAAGCAGACACCTATATATTGGAATACTATTTGACATTTAAAAATGAAAATGTAATTCTGTATCTACTCACTTAGGAAATGTCAGTGATGTTGATAGGTTAAAGATACTTTATCATCTACCTACCCAAATATAACTACTAAGTGATTCTTAGTTTCTTTTTAAAATTTTCTGCCTTGTCCTTTATTTTATAACATATTTTCATTTTTTAAGAGAAAATGAGTTAAAAATTAGGTTAACAGCTCCCAAATAAACATGAAAAATATGTAGAGTATTCCTGCTCTCCATGAAAAATAACTAAAATATTTAATATAGTTTTTCAATGGAAAAAGGTATTGACCACAAGGAAAACAATGAAATGAGAAAGAAAGAGGGCACTGGACGAGAGTTCAACAAAACACTGGAAGACAAAAAGCACACAAACTAGTGGTAATTGACTAACTGCCAAGAGAACTAAAACAACTGCCAAAAGAGAAAGGATGTCAACAAGAAGCAAATTGACCTCACGCTAGTGCCAAGTGCCCTGGGAAGCCATGCCTCTGAAGACAGAGATGACAGGGAAGTTTCGGTTTTCTGCCTGTTTAGAGGACAATTTCCCCTCATCCTATGCTGTTCTTCATCCAGGCTGGAAATAAGTTTACTTTTTGGAAAAACTCAAGTAGAGAAAGACAGAGACAGACACTCTGGACTCCAGAACATTAGGCATGACAGAGTAAGGAAGCAAGGCTGAACACAGGAGGAATTAGAGTGTTATACACACAAACACCCACACGCAAAACCCCTAACCTCCTTTTGGCTACCCAAATACTGGTAGTCAGTTTAATATCACTTAGTAAATAGACAGGAGAAATGGAATGAACTGAGGGAAAAGATACTTACATTTGAATAACTTTTCTAAAAAGTTAACCTTTCTGGCCAGTTTTTTTTTTTTTTTT